TAAATTGATAAAACCAAATTTTTTTCTTTACCCCCCACAGACGCAGCACCATAGTTTCCCTAGAAACTTACCCCCTTGATCTATTTACCAATACTTTACTTGGACAAAGTTTTTGAACTATCTATCATCTTACGTGATACTTACTAAAATTAAATTTAATTTATCATAGCTAAATGCTATAGCGCAAGTTGTCTTTATTAACCATTGGTTATCTGATAAGAAAGCGTACCTCAACAGTACCAACGAAACACTAGTTTCCAGTCTCTAACCTAATTAGTGCTTCCTCGTCACTCGACTCGGTCTCCTGGCCGTCGTCTTCTCCGTCTTCTCCGGCGTAAGATGGATCTTCTGCGCCGTAGATGCTCTCACCTTTTAACATGGCGTCTTCCATTCGGAGCCGAGAAAACATTGTTTTGTAAGTTCGAGAATAAATGGCTCGGCTTGACGATAGATCCTCGTTTACAAACTGCGGGAGCTCCTGAAAATTTTTAACAGCTTCGTTAGAAAAATTAAATCGCTCTTGACCAAAGAACAAAAAAAAAGCTAAGGATTTAAAATAATGGTAATTGGGCTAAGTGGGGTGCAATTTGGTCATGTGACATGAGTTGCGTGACATCCCTTACCGCCGCAATTGTGAGGAGTGTCTGGACCTGATACTGGTGTAACGCCATGTTCATTCTGTCCGATAGCCAGTCGCATATCTTCGTTATTATGGACGTATACCAGTCCTGAAAGCATCAAAGCAAATGCTGAAAGGTAACCTGAGAGTACCGTCTGTGTAATCCTGAGTAACGGGAGTGGAGACGCATGTTAAAATCATAGAAATAATATGTACAGATTTTAACCCACCTTAATTAGCTGCTTCTTCATTTTCTCATCTTTCAAAGAATCTCTAAATACTTCTAAATTAAGTTTGACGAAATTCAAGTAGTAGTCTTCAAGATCTGTACCAGGATTCTGAAAAACAGAACAAAACAATTTATAATAAATATTAATTTTACATCAACCTTCAATGTTTCTCACGAGGCTTTTGTAGGCCATTATATTCAGGAATATTAGCAAAGACTGGATTATTTTCGACACTTGTCGAAAAATTGCTCTGTACTCTTGAGCAAAGAGAGACAAAATAAGAGTAAAACGTCTTGCTCAAGAGCTTGAATCTCGTAAATCAAGAGTCTAAATGTAAATCAAGTCTAAATGTAAATCAAGTCTAAATGGGTCTCTCGAACTCAATTGCAACGAACGTGGATCTGACTGTTTTCTCTGCAGCTTGTAGAGACAAGGACTATTTATAATAGAATAGTATCGGTATATTTTTATATCTTTCTTAATAGTATAGTATTGGTAATTTTGCATAACTATCTTAGAATTTTATTTTATCTAATATTGATTTAATATTTAGTGGTATTAGTTTTGCTTTGTTTCTGTCTCCAATTAGCAAGTATGCTTAAGTACTTTGACACAAAAATAAAGTTATTATTATTATTATCTGTAGTGCTCATAAAAATAAACAAACCCTCAGAGAAAACATCGGAGCTACAATGAATCCTTGGTCGTAACGTGCCACCTTTGATAACAACTACTCCAACACAGTGTTAAGCTACAAGATAAATGGTGAACGGATTCACGTTAAAAGGAACAAAGACAAGATTAACAAGCTATGTTATCTTACATAACACAAGAATAAAATGGAAAAACAAAGGAGAATTGAATGTCTAGCAAACCTTGGAAATAAACGATGAAAACATCTCTTGAATTACATCCTTGAGAAAAATGTTGACATCTGAGTGATACCGATACTGTAAAAAGAAAAAAAAAAGGAAATATATCTATATTTATAACATAACCAAAGTAAAGCGCACGCTCTGATTGCTCAATTTAGGAAATAGGAAATATATCTAAAATAAATATATAAATATATATAAATATATCTATATATATTTTATGGAAATATATCTATATTTAAATAATAATAATCTTTATTTAGCAATAATTTCCATAAAATCCTCCACAATACAAAATATTAACAGCGTAATAAACGATCCAAAATAACTCACTTTCGGCTCACATCTACTCTTTTTTTTTTAATGTCAAAGCGTCTGGAAAACTATAAATAACGGAGTCAAATCTGAACAGATTCAAAGTCTAATAATCTGATAAGTAAAAGCATCGTGAGCAATCACGAAACAGGCTTGTAGGGATGAAAGCGTAGTCATTGCATTTTTTCTAACTCAACATATATTGCGCTCTACTTATATGTATCGAGCACTGTAATACGGTAAAATCGAAACGCAAACTTCCTATATATCTATATATACTTATAAAGACAAGGGGCAACTTTTCAAACAGCAAATCAGAACTGATTGATTTAAGTTTTGTATCACACGCTAAGTTGACTCCTGTTCAATCACTGAGTGTAGTAAAACAAAACTACAGCAAACCCCGGCTACATTCAACGCTCAACTACTGATTAGCAGATATCTTTGTACTTGCCTCGCAACTCTCGGACTCCTCCCTTGCACAAAGGAACCTGGACTGTAAAAGTAAACAACGGCAAAATATTAACGCACAAGATTTCTGTTCACTTTATAAAGGTTTTATTCTTGCGCGCTTAAATTTTGTCCTCTGGTTTAATTGCAATCTTATTTCCCAGTTCAAGACAGTGGTTTAAGTGTCTTAGCCACTGATTGACCTTTAAAAACTGAGTTGGTATTTCGTTTGGAGCGCATTTCCATTGAGTATCGTTTGGCAACAACCTTCTCCGCAACAACCGGGTGGCGAAAATTTTCCGCTCCAATCACGGATTGTAGTAAAGTAAAACCAATGCAGCCAGGGGTTTCATAAAGGGCCGGGCAGCGGGCAAATTGACCGGTCGCGAGGACGGTTTTGCCCACCTGGTTTGACAATCTGGAGAAAAGTTTATCTTATAACGAAGTTCAGTTCAAAAAGGTTTTTCCCGCCTATGAAAACCAGTTACCCTCCTGCTGAAAACGTTCATGAAACCCCTGAACGCAATCTAAAATAAGTTTTTGATTTGAATTGAAGACTTCTGTAATTTACGCCCAACTAAAAACCTCTAGCCAACATATTAAAGGGCCTCATGACAAAATAATTCACGTGGGAAAATATAGCCTAAACAACACTCACGACTTGTAATAAGAAATAACAAAACTTCCACTGAACAAAAGAAACTTGAGCAACTTTTTGACACCAAACAGTAATCACTGACCATGAGTTTGTATCAAGTCACTACACAAACATGCGATGGGTCTCATCTTGAAACGGGTACAAAGTGTTTCGCGCAATCGGCATCCTGAGAAACGGGACTTTAAAAACAGGGTTTACCTGTTTCTTGGCCTGTATGACGACATTAAGCATGACGCACACTGTCCCAGGTACGAGCAGTTCCAGGCTGAAGCTAGTTTGTTTCAGCCATTTGTCAAACGCAGCCTTCGTTCTGAAAGCAACAGGACAACAAAGGCGAGGTTAAGAAATACCTTGATCGTGTCTGATTTTGTGAAATATGACTTCACTGAAGACAAACGCAAAAAATAAGATCTTAAGATGGTCAGGGACAGTGAGGTTGGTTAAAAATTACCCGTCGAGCAAGGTGTTCCACAGAAAGGGCGCATTAAGTCTTCATGCAATAACTGATGAGAAATTTTTAAACAACAGCAACAATACGACGTTTTCCTTCAACTAAAAGCTACAAGTGTGTTTCTTCTCCACAGGGGGGATACTTTGTTTTCCTGCGAGAACCTAGGTTTTATAATTTGCGATAATGATCCGCTGTAATCAGAGTTGACTTCACAATCATAAGAAAAACAGAGACCAGTAAAATAAACTCAAAGTTAACCTCTTGACACAGGACTGCACCATATCTGAAGCCATCAACTTCAGTCTCTTCATAAGATGAGACGCTAGCACCTCATCAGGCCAGTTTAGTTCAGCTATGAATTGCTGCAGTACAGTTAACTTCCAGAACAGATCCTCAGAGGCACGGCACCCATCTCTACCGAAAAAAAAAAAAAAACAGAATTAATAAGATTACTGGTAACACAAATTAACGTACCTCTAAAAACTGTAACGGTTCTGACCTGAGGGGAATCCAATTCTCTTTTTGAAATCCTTTGTGCAGCGACTGCGCAATAGACGACTCCATCAAATCAATATATCGTATGACAAGAGGAGCGAACACATCTCGTAAATGACGATGGAATTTCCCACGATTGAGGTTGGCTAAACAGGAGAGAACAAAGTAACGTTAGACATGCATACCGCAAATCCTTCCATTAGCACCCCCGCTCGGATAGGCACCCCTTTTATCGACCAAAATTTTCCACAGGCGCCCGTTCAGATTATGTTGACCGCTATTGTGTTTTTTGCGTTTAAAGAAAGTGAGTTTTCGCGCGCCAATTCAAAGCCTCGAACACAATAATGATTGTCTTGGAGCCTTTGCACCCTTTACAGTCTAACATCAGTCTGCATATTCTCCAGACTGTTCTCTATAAATTTCCTAAGGTCCTGACAAGGAGAATTTGTATAACAATCAAGCCTTTTTTTAGTTGGTGATAATTTCTTTTATTCTGGTTAGCTTGATGTGTGATTCGGGGGTGATATTTTATGGAGAAATTACATGCTTAAGGTTTTCTATTTTCCTCCGTGGTGTTTTTTTTTTGTTGTTCTAGTTTTAGACGTTGTTAGTTACTTACTATCATCACACAGATATTCATTTAGCAGTTGAAACAACTGAAAACTCTCCCATGTGTCGGGCAGCTGAGCGGCCAGAGCAGCATCCATATCAACAGTAAACAAGGACCAGAACATTTCCTGATGTTCTACCATCAAGTCGGACACCCAAGCCAATGCCTGGAGATAAAGAAAATAAAATTAGCTGAAGGAAATGATCTAATACTCTTTATAAATAAATAATGGTATAAAGTTTCTAGAAAAACTGTGGTGATGCGCCGGAAGGTAGTATTACAAGATGATTTGATTTTATCAACTGAATGGATAAAAACTGAATTATTTGAGTTTCCAAAGGTGATGTTTGGAGCGTTAGCCCTTCGCATAGTCGAACATGATACTAATCCGTCAAACGAATTCATAAATATGAATATAACCATGAAAAATTTCCGACAAAAATATGCACTGAAAGGTCTATGAAAAAGCACGTGGACTCAGTGAAGCGTACTGTCCAAATACTCTAGTTTGACTCCTATATACTGTCTTAATATGTTGTTCAATTACAAGCACGATGTGTAAACTTTCCCGTAGGTGCTTAAATCGGGCGATTGATAACCAATCCCGTTTGAGAATTTGTTGTAGCTTTGGTTAAGCTAGTTAACGTAAAGAGTATTCTAAGATCAGGATTTTGCTAAATTTGATTCTTGAAGGCTTGAACGCAGATATTTGAAAATTTGTTGAAAATCTGTAATTTATAATCAAAGATATTTCATGAACTACATGCAGGTCTGAAAAGCGGGCCGTATAAGGAGAATCTTGTTCCCTGATTGGCTAACGAAGCGAGCAAGAAGGGCGGCCTATTTTGCGCGCTTGAGATTGTCCGATTGGGTTCCGCAAAGAAAAAATAATAATGTGTAGGGTGTTTGTTAGTTTAGCAGAATTTTAACAGTAGATCTGGAAATAGAATCGATTAGCAGAGAGTGCTAGTGGCTTTTTTTTAACGCAGTCGAATGCAATAGAGTACAATGCCGGCATCTTAATGCCTGTAGGCCAATGTACCTCAGAATGATGTTCTTCATTCTGATGAAGCAAATCTATGCACAGTTCCGCCAGATGCATGATGTCGTTCAGTATAGTCTCAGGTGGTACGTGATCTCCGGACGACTCTAGAAGGTAAATGTTAAGATATCTTTGTTGTTGTTCTTTTTCTTCTGCCTCCAGGCCGAGTGGAGCGTAGAGACGAAGAGTAACCCTACCCCTCCCTCTGACGTTACCTACTACCCCCTCCCCATCCAACGAATTTTGAGGTTTCCATGACAATTTGCTGGTTTCATTTACATTACCGGGTGGAGAGAGGTGCTGTAACAGTTCGTGTAAATTTGTTCGTTTAGAGCACTTTTCAGCTGAGTGTCGAAAGTAATCCGGGAACGGGATTGCTTCGGTTTTACTCAACTTTGCTCTGTGATTGGTCCAGAAAACTCGCGCCAAACTCCCAAACAATCAGATTCAAAAATTAAAAACGATGGTAACTGCGCTTCAAGCAGTTTGCTTCAGTTCCTTTCACTTCGAGTTCTCATTGGCTAATTATATGGTAAACCTTTGTTGTGAGTGATCGCTGGGATTGCCTCCGTTTGGGTTTCATTACTCAATTTTCATTTTTACTTAACGTGGAAAATATACCAGAAACCCCAAGTTATGTACTAAACCCAGATAGAAACACTGTTTTCGTGTCGAAACACATCAAACGAGGTTAATGATTGACAAGTTCCTTTAAAAAAATCTGGACATACCTTCAATCTTTGCATAAGCCGAGACACGAGTATAATTAACAAGAGCGGCTTGATGGAGGCAACTTCTGATTTCCTTTCTAAATTCCTCTGGTGGAACTGGTGTGGAAATATCCTTCATCATAACCTATGGACAATAACAAGATTATTTACTAAATAATGGTATTTCCTAGAAAGCTGTTCGACCGAAGTGAAAAAATACAAAATTAAAAGAGATAAAAGTCATGTGTAAAAAGATCTTAATTCTCCAAAGAGAATCGCCAGGGGGTCGTGATCAATCAAAGAACAAATTTTAAAATTCAAGTTACCCTTTCAAATAAGGACAGCGTTGCTTTCAGCGCCCCTTCAGGTCTCCCGAAAGGAAAAGAATATCTGCGAAAAAAAAAAATGTAATCATCAGTAACATAAGTACAAAGGCTCGGCTTCAAGTCCTAATCACTCCAATTGTCCTTTGCGTCCTGACACACAGCGTCGAACGTTTTCATAAATGATTGCCAAGGATTTCAAAGGAGCTACTAAGACAATCAAGAATCATTGACGAGATTTCTTTAAGTCTTTCGAGGATGTGCAGTATACATATCATGATGATAACGACTCTAATTTCTTTGCAAATATCCGTGATAGGATTTACGATATTCTTAAATTAGTAATAAAGAATCAACGACAACTCGAAGAC